TTCTCCTGCTTACATAACAACTCCAGTTCACTAAGTAATTGCATATCGCGAATTCATTCGAACTGGGAGGCCGATAGACAACACAAAGGTTCAGTGTCGGTAATTGTCTGATACATATCTTGCATGAAATTATTTCAAAATTTCGGGGCGCAACATCGGAAATTTCTCGTTGACAGCCCGCAATTTCATTTGACACATAAATAGCTGTGCCTTGTCCTCTACGGTGCAATCTGTCACAACGGAACATTTGGCAGCCTTCAATACTGACTTCGCTATTGCTTATTTCCTCAGTCAATCATGTCTCTGTTAGGACAATGACGTGTGGCTTCTGTTTAGAGACAAGTAATCTGAGTTCATCCAGCTTGTTGTGGAGACTCTGACATTTGGTGTAATAGATTTCTAGACAGCTGCCACTGGTGCTAGCAGCCTCAGGAGCTGGCACGTTTGCACCGGTTAGGCTGTTAGAATTACGGTCTTCAGCCTGAGTAATGTCCTTTTGACCTGAATTATTCGTTCGTTCTTCAATTGTAGGTGTGTTCAGCCGCTGCTAGTCCGCTTTTCCAGCTCCGTCATCAGCTCTCTAATTTTCATTCGCTCTTTTGGCTCGCAATCCGGCTAAAAAAACTTCAGGATGCTGAACCCGTAGAGATGATATTGTCTGTAACAGGAGCTGGGCCTGTGCTTCAGTCTCCAAAATGACTTTTAGGGGTCGAGGCCGAAAATGTGAACCGGATGCTGACTGACTCTTCCCTATTCGGAATGCTTTGAGAACATTAAGTGACTCGCCGTCTCTGAACAAAGCTTTTGCATACACTTGAAGAAGGTCTAAGTCATGTTGAACTCTGTCCCTTAGAATTGTTGCCGTTGATTCTGGTACTACTTTCATAACTGCATTTTGTTTGCGACTGAATCTAGCGCTCGTTGTTGTCGCATATCTTTTGAGTGACTAGCGTTCTTCTCCAGTTTACTTGTTTCGCTGGTTTCCGATGAACTAGCTATTGGGCTAGCAGAACTGAGATCCGTGTACAATTCATTTATCTTCCTGTTGATAACACTGCTTTTATGTTTCCGTGTTGTTCGTCGAAAAGGCTAATCACAGATTTTTTTCGAAGCCTCCTCCCGAATATTCGGCCCACAATGTGTTCCGATCTCTTTATTGTTTAACATAGTTGGAAGTCTTCGGTGTTCCTTCGTAGGCCTCCTTGCAGTCCTTCTCAGCTTGTCTGCTTGTACGTAAGCGTCCTTCGTTTTTCGACCGTACAGACGTGCATGTTGTTTTCCTGGGATGTGTATTTGATCTCTGAGTTCGCTTTGGCTGGTCTTTTTCTCTCCTAAGAGACTGGCATTCAATTGTGTCATGTTCCCTAGGCGAATCGTCTTCAGTTTCAGCGTTTGATATATTAAATAAGACGTGGTTGCATATGTTTTTCTCGGATTCTGTATTTCCGAATTTGTAGGCTTCTTCTCTTCACGTAAGTGATCAGTTAGCTTCCTTAATTTTTCCACCTCGACTTTTAGACCTTTGAAATCACCCTCCATTTTTTGAAAGCTTATGGATGAGTCTGAAACATGTGGTACAGATTTCATCGTCCTATCTCACATCCCTCAACGTCACTTGACTTTTTGCTCGTTTTACGGGCAGTTAATATCATGTGTTATACATAATGTATCATTGGTTTATCAATACCGGCGCGAGTCAGTGGCTTAGCGGTAATGACGGTTTTCTGTCCGAGCGACTGTCCGGGTTCGACTCTCGCCTGTGGCGGACATTCTACATCGTGTTTTGAGGGCATTTCTCTGAATAGCATTACCGAGTTTATCTTAAAGTTATGAGACAAATTTTCAACCTGATCAAAGATATGAGGTAAACGGCTCAGCCTTTTGTATGTTTTGGGGATTTGTCAATGATGTTGTAGAGAGGCCACCGTACGAAGATAGGTTATCCCGCACAAATCCTGCTGTGGGTTTCCAAGGATGCATCGGCCACAAAGACGAATCGGATTCTTAATATCCACGAGCCGTGAGGACGTCCAGTAGATAGAAATCCCGATAAAAGTGAAATCCCTCGAGGTCGAAAATTTCAAACCAAATCCGAAATGCCCGCTTACATATTCGAAAAGGTGCCGTAAGTTGGTTGTTTGCCTGCGACAGGGATAAGCGTCCGTTCACGGTGAGTGTCAGTCGCGGTGTGTAGTTTGCGCGGGGGTGAATGTCTGTGTTAGTAGGTGATGGGGACTGGCTGAATGCTATTCATGAGATTGGATGGATTAGGAGAGGATTAGGGGGACACATAATCACAGATTCTTATGAGTATCAAATTATGTTGTCCGACGCGAGTGAGGTGATAATAGTTTGTGAGGGCAGTCGGGAGTTACTGCAGCTAGATAAGAGGGTCTTCAGTTCTAGCCGGTGGGGGTGGTCGTGTGTCGGCAACCTGGCAACGATTGCCGCGGCCATCGACCGAAAAACGGAGCCAGAGAAAAGGAGTACTGGAGCGGCTGCTATAAGTTATCGGCCGAAGACACTGTTGCGGGTCTCTGCTGGGCTTTGCTTCTTCGAGGAGAAAACCAGAGGCTGTAGAACGCCATAAGCGGTTCGCTGAAGTGCTGCACCAACGGCAGTGCTGGAAGAGTCTGTCATTAGACTTAGTTAGGCATCAGAGCGGGGGTGGGCAAGTAGAGTCGCGTTCGTGAGTGCGGCCTTAACGTAATTGAAGGACCTGACGTTCTCCTCGGTCAGAACCAGTGTCTTCTGGGAATGGGTCAAAAGGCAATATGGAGAAGAAAACGGTGATAGTAAATCACCATCCCGAAGGAACAACGAAGTTGGTTGACAGTTGTCGGGTCGGGGAACGTTGATATGGCCGAGACCTTTTCTAAACGGACTTTATCCCATCAGAGTTCACTACGTGACTCAGGAAGATAAGACTGGGGGCTCCAACCTCACATTTAGCAGCATTGATTCAAACAATGAAGGGTTCGAGTCGTTCGAAGAGCTGTCGAAGATGAATCTCGTGTTCAGCTGCATCAAAGCTTGCCACCAGCAAATAATCAATGTGGGGGAAGACGAAGTCAATACCTCGCAACACCTGATCAATAAAGCTTTGGAACGCATGAGTGTCATTCCTCAGACCAAAGGGCATACGAGCGAATTCGAATAACCCAGGGCAGTGGTTACTGCAGTTTTCGGCACATTACTGGCCTCGATTGGGATTTGGTGCTAGACACGAACAAGGTCAACCTTGGAGAATATCCGCTTACCATGCAGCGAAAGAGTGGAGTCTTAGATGTGCGAAAAGGGATACTGGTCGGGGACAGTCACTGAGTTCAAAGCTCGATAAGCATCGCACGGTCGCCAGTCGCCGCTCTTCTTTGAGAGAAGATGAAATCGTGATGCCCGGCAGCTGTCGGACTGTCGGTAGATGACAACCGCAAGCATTAGTTCGAACTCTACTTTGGCACTTTTCAAACAGTCCGGAGCAAGCTGACGTGGTCAGCAACGTTTGGGAGTTCCAGTGGTGGAAATGTGGTGGGTGACTGTGTGTTTGATGTCCACTTCACTAAATGAGGGGTTGGTCAGGCGGGGTAACTGCCTGAGTAGTTAGTGGAAAAGACAGTCAGAGATTGGCATAACAGAGGGTATGTTTACACTAAGAAACGGAAAACCCCGCATGGTAATCAACTTCTAGATGAAACTATGGTTGAAGTCTCTAAAGGCAGCTAGACCCGCAAGACTGGTTTCAGCTGAGCTTAGTTGAGTGTTTGTACAGTGTTTGTAAGTAGGTTGCGGAAAAGCTTATGGCGCATCTGTTAGGTCTCACTTAGAGTCCGCCATCGAGACCTGTCGTCGGTATTTTAAGAAGCATTGTCAACAGCCGTCAAAAAGACAACGATCCTTGTCGTGTGCCTTGCAAAAGCAAACCGGCTAGACAGTATTTGGTTCTTCTCAATTACGGCCAGCTGCGCGGTGACCATTTAATCCTCCCGGATTTTTGGGGTCCCTGATTGGGCATTAGACTTTGATGACCTCTTCGAGCTGGCTGGCACGGCCAGTCAGCAAGGTTATCCTTTTAAACTGTACACAAAGTTGTTTTAGACAAACGACCGACGAAACCCCTTCTCATATGGAGTTGTCTGAGCTTAGAACAAACTGCCTAACGAGCAGGTCTGTTCGGAGATTATTAAAACACTTTGACGTAAAGTGGGCATTTATTTTACGATCACCTATTTCACATATAATCATTATTATCCCAGTAGTCGCATTTTTGCCATTGACGCGTACATACTGCTGACCTTAGATGTTTAAAACTTCTGGTATAAGAATAAGATATATTGTTATTTCTAGATATGAGTAGGGAACTGAAGGGTTTAGGCCTCATTTCCACAAAAACTGAGTTAAACTACGAAGTTAACTTGTCGTTTAATCAATTTATCGATGACCATTTAACGATCCTTCTGTTTAAAGCATGTTTCCGATCGAATGTAATGCATCCAACTCTAAAAATATCTAAAACTTCCTAATCAACAGATTCTAACTTAGTAATCTTATGCTCCTGAGTTGTAAGGGAAAGGATGCTGACTTTTGCCACACAAAAATCAGACCAAACATTCCTGACACTCAACCCGTTAATCATGATCGCCGTTTGCAGACATTCCTTATCCATACTTTATCATTGTTTGGCCAATATCCTCCACATCATGCATTAACAATCGTGTCACGTCCTGCAGGTGTTCCCGGGTGGCCTGAGTTTAGAGTATTAAGGCAAACGAGGTGTCTTTTCACCCTCATTCACGGAACTTCGCTCAAGTGGCGTGGGGACTACCACTGACAAGGCATTAAATTCAATTAGTAATCTTCGTAAAAACAGCCATTGTTGTCTTAATTCTGTTTTACTTTCTCAACACTGTAAGTCAGTGACCTTGAACACTCGCGTAACACCTTATTTATTATAGCAAGTGCCTGTAAGTTAGGCATTTGAAACCAACTGAGCGAGCAAAGGGATGCATGCCAATACTTTAACAAAGTTTTCCCTAATCCTGTTTCTGTGCGTTCTAAACGTCGGATGCTCAGGTAATTTTGCTTTATAACCTGAAAGTTATTTCCAACCAAACAAGTTTGTTTGCCTTAGCAAATATTTTGGAAGTTGTATTGATATGTAAATTTGCTTTGCGTCTTTACCTTGACTTTGCATTTTTAATTTATATCAATATAAGTGAAAATTATTTCCGATTTCAGACGTTATTTTTCAGGTCCAGCAAAGCGGGCCGTCTGCTTTTGACGTGCGTTGGATTTCAAAACTTTCTAATGACTCAACTAAACAATTTCGTGTCACTGTGCAAGGTGTTCTTGATGAACATTGCAAGAAACCTGTTGTTAAAGGACTTTCTACGTGCAAAATCAGTGACAAATACCCGAATACAAGGTATACCTGTTGGCTGCTGATTTGTCCTCTGAATGCTATGAGCCCCACTGACTGTTCCGATGCGTCCAAATCAATATCCGTTTATACGCTGCCCGAAGGTGAGACGTCTGCTTTTATATCACACTATGAATATCAGACAGAATATATGGTTTTAACATATATGTTCGGACCAAGTATTGTGCCGCGTGAATGATACATATGTATCGCACATACATATGTATTTGCGATTTGAACGGAACATAGAGGTTTATTAAAGCCACCTGACGTCATACAGTTAGAGTGTCAACAGTTAGCATCAGGCCCTCTTTATATCGGTTTTTGTAAACCGATGAATTCTTAGGCCTTTTGTAAAATGTGAACGGTGGGCTATAGCCAGGAAATAAGGTAGTAGTAGGTTTATTTTCGCTCTCTATTTCTCTCTCTCTTTCTCCATAAATGTATATAAAGACCAAGAGAATAAACTTACAACACCCTTATCTATATGAAATTTGACAAGAAGTTTGAGCTCGTAAGACTCAAAACCCTCGATTATCTTTGTGCGTTTCTTGCGTTTCTATAACTTATTGGAGACAGTTCACTCCATGTTACGATATCAGGTTATAATAAAAAAACATGATAAAAGCTTAAAATATTTCGGAAACAGGCCTGTGATTGTATACGTGGAGTGCATTATATGATTTAAAATGCCACCAATGTGACGTCAAAATGATTAAACTATTTGGAGATAATGGCTTTTCTTTCTAACTTCTAGCTCCAGCTGTTTTAACAGCTAAAGCTCTCGACAACGAAACGATCAAATTAAGCTGGCAAATCCCACCGCAAAATACGAACGGACTCCAGACATATGCACTTTTACAGGGAGAAGACTCTCCACCACCATCCGTTCAAGTTACGCAAATCGGGAATGACAGTGCGACCTTCACAAACCTAAGGGCATTAACTGAGTACAATGCAACTTTGTCCCTTTACAGCACGCTCAGTAGTAGCAGTTCTTCAGTGGGTGAGGCGATAAGTGTTGTGACCTTTCCAAACGGTAAGATTTCCAATGGTTTAGTTGTTTTTAATTAAGAGAGCAAAGATTATGCATTAACTTGACGCCGACAAATGCTCATGCTTCACATCTGCATGAGAGCTCGTGTGCAAGCACACGCGTCGGTCAAGTCTTTCATAAAGTTGGAATTCACGCTTTTGCATGTACAAATACAATACGATATCTTACAACAGAATTTGTGAAAAAGTAACTGATTGACATATATCCTTACGAAGGGCGAAACATAATATTTATCTTTTTTTGCGGTTGGGAATTAAAATCCGCCTTTTGTCTCGTTTTTAGTCAGACACACTACTAAACGTTGCTGTTAAAATAGACCATGTAGCCTCCTGTCAGCAGAAAGACAGTGGCAGTTAGCCTCGTAAAATTGAAAAAATTTAGCAAAAGCATAAATTTAATAAATAAATCTTATTCGGTTCCATGCAATCATGTCAGTGATTATACGCAGCCGTGCATGCTGTTTAAATAGCTCGTACCAGATACTATTACTTCCTCTATGTCTTCAAGTGTCTTTAAACGTTTCTTCCATAAAGTTTGTCATTATCATGTTTTGACTATTTTCTAGTTTGAGTGTATGTATTATTTTTGTAAAAACAATAATTTCCAGACCTACAGTTCACACAACGTTTCAGAGGGACAATGAAGCAATAGTCAAGATTAGGATTTGGGATATACTTCAGAGAATTGAGTTTCAATATCTTTTTGTGTTTCATATCCTAGTATACTTCAGTCCTGGGCACCATGGTGGTTGAATATTGACGTTCCATATGTAGTCAGAGACATTTTCATTAACAAGACTTCTCATCAACCATTGGAAATTAATTTATCTGGAGATTCTCTTGATGAATCATGCTTTTAATCTTGATATTTCTAGTCATCACATTTGGCCATGTAAATTATACCATTCTATTGAGCATACTCATGTCGCAAGAAAAATCTGTATAAAACCTTAAACGCCAAGTTTATGCGGACCCGAAACATTGTTTTTCTAATACCATCCTATTGAGTCATCATATATGAATTACATCTCATGAATGTTCTATTGTCCCCGTAAACTTTTCCATCCCTAACCTTCCAAACAACGATATCAGCGGGATTGGTGTTTCTTTTACTAGCCCCGTCAGGTATTTCGATACTTGGAGTTGGCGCAACTTGGATTAAGGCACTTGTCGAGCCTGCACCTGGCAGCGAAAACTTCCCTCTCAGTTACACTATCCGTGCTGTTCGTTCGTCCAAAACTTCTGAGGAATGTGTTGCTCAAATATTTCCTGAAGGTGCAATTTGTACACTTGAGGGATTGCAAAGCGGAGCAACATACTCCCTTACAGCGAAAGCATGCCACGGCAGCGACTGCAGCATTGCCTCCTCTCGAGTAATCCAGAGAACCGAGGCCACGAGTAAGCATTTGCAACTGGCAGATTTGGGGTTCTAGGGAAATAGGACAATGCACATATATTTCCTTACTGCTCGGAAGTATAATGTAACATTTTAATCATATAATACAGGAACAAGGATTTTACTTAGAAGTGGTTTAGAGTTACGTACACGGGCGTATGTCAAGTGTGCACAATTGGATAAAGGGTTTTAATCTAGTCTGTAAAATTTTGTGGTTTCAATTTCTTCAAATCTGGAGTCTGTATCTTAATCTTGGCTATACAAAGAGAAAAGTGCTTTTTTTAAACACGCATGGTAGACCCCAAGTATCCGATGATATTTTTAGTGGCCAACAATTGTAATCGCATCGTGTATCACGTAAGTCTCGAGGAAAGTAAAAATATTTATCACATATGTGGAACGAATATCAACCTTATTACATACGACACAGCAAAAACTATTAGTTGTTGCTAGTGTTCTTTATTTCGACTAAAAGTAATCAAGGGCATGTTCTGGCAAATCAATACCAATCTACGTAATTCGTTTTCAGAATCAAACGGTCTTAACCTTGCTGGCATTATTGGCATCGTCATCGGCGCTGCTCTAGGTGTCTTACTGCTCATTTTAATATGCTTCTGCATATGCAGAAAAAGCAAACCGTGAGTCGTCGTTTGAAGTCGATGCACCTCAATTGCTTTATGCATTAATCCATGCATAATTTCGCTTGTAAACGTGGTATGTTTTGTTTGCCCATTTTAGGTCTGGGTATGTTCTGTCCGTTACCGTTAGAAAATGTACTAGTAATGTGTTGATATTTTTGTTGATGTTTGCCTGTTACCAGGTGCAATATTACTTAAGGGCATTTGAGAATGTGCCATTTCTATTTCATCCAGGTCCTATGTTTTGTGAACTGGAAGCCATTACGGTATGCATATAGTCATTTATTTATGTGTACTTTTGTCCTCTTGCATCTTTCAGCATGCGTTTTTTTATCAACAAAACAATGCACAACAAAGTTTATTTTTTGGAATTTTAAAGGGGAAATGCATCTAATCCGATTTTCTAAATTTTAGATCATACGAAGACTGCGTCCTCTATGTTTTCTCTATATTTTAATTATTTCATCAATAAAACGTTTGCACTTTGTCATGAATGGTCTGATTTTTGTAAACAATATGTACTATTTTTGTCTGTGTTCTTTGATATGAAACCTTAATTTTCCTATCAAAGTTTTGCCTACCAAATTTGATATGCTGTCCTCACCAACCACATCCATGTCATAAATAATACTGAGATTAAGTAAATTATCCCACAGAATTAGTTCTTATGCGTTGGAAAGAAACTTTTTAAAATAAAGTTATTTGACCTGATAATCTATGCTAACTGTCACAGAAGGCGTTTTAAGCATGTCGACGCAATCACAGTATTTCAATTACTATTCATATATATATTGTTGGTGAATGCATGCAATTTTGTTTTCCATCTACCTTTTCATAATTGCTGAATATTGGTTTTTCATGCTGTTGCACAAGATCAAGTATCTTGCTCTGGCAATTTTCCCATGACTACAAAATACGTTCTATCGTTTACTGTATACAGCGCATATATTTCGTTGCATATAGGGAATTGACGTTTTCTTAAAAACCTGTCAGGTTTGCATACTTAAACAAATTCGTAGTGTTGTTTACTGATTCGGTTATACGAATTATGGAATAGTGATAAAGAACACATATGCTATAATCGTATGGTGTCATAATGCTGAGCTGATATACGTTTGCAATTAAAAGTTACCTGTAAATATATGCTAAATGAATGTGAAAGAATGTCACAGTTTACCTAATGTACAACGCAATATGATTATTCTACAGCGCTCATTGATAAGCGCTACGCAGCACTCTAATACACTAGGAGTTGTCCTTAATATATTTATAAACGGTTCAACATGCTCTATCTACCTGCAATTCGAAGACCTACGTATTAGTAAAATCTTTGTTTGAACAGCTACATCGCCAACCTAGTATAAAGTGCATATTTGAAATAACCTATCCTCCCCTGTCAAAAGGTGTCTCCTGAAATAAGGGCTTGATTGCACGGTTTTTTGCCACATACTAAAGTGTCCATCAGAACCGTTAACTTGAATACCGCAGTATGCGCGCTTGTGAATTTAAGTGGCAAATATTCAAGTCTGTTCGCGCCTGGAGTTTCACAGTCGAGCGATGTCACCATATTCTGATTTACTGTCCTTTCATCCCCGCTGATAAGAAATCCAGTTCACTTGATCACATGGCACGTTTTGATCAAAAGAATTTTGTCTGCAGTGGTTGCGCACGTGCACTTTGCACCATCACGGCCATTTAAGCGCTTATTTTGCATTAAAGGTTGGGCGTATTGTTTTTTCAGTAAACGTACGGCAATTTCCGCTGATCTACTGTCTCTTGTGAGTCAAGAGGGCGACAGACGCGTGGTGGTTTAGCAAGACAACGGCAGCACTCATTCAGTAAGAGAACGGAAAAACGCTTAGGAGACAACCTCATGGGAACAGTATAGCGTCCTCTCTTTTGTCGTACCGCTATTCATTTGAGGCAGTATTGTTCTGGCTTTTTAAACGATAAACAAAAATGTTTATTCGGGATGCCCAAAGTTTTGTGAAAAAGGGACTAATATCGTGAGTTAAACATGCGTCTTAGATTTTAGAGCCAAAAGGATGCCATATATATTTCCGACAGCAGCGCAATTACCACGACTGAGTGTGAAACAACAATTAACGGACATTTTGTATTGTTAGTCATATGGGAAGTCAGATTAGTCTCGATCGGTCCGACCAGAATCGTGCCAACGTAAGCCAAAATTTTGGCGACCTATACTAATATTGTACCGACAACGTCCACAGTCATGACCGAATTTTCAAACTCACGTAGAACCAAACTTTACATGTATCGCGCAGACGCTCTAATCTCCGCAAAACCGTACACACCTCTGTCAGGCGACCATGTAAGACCGTTAAATTTGTTAAGTCAGAAAATTTCATGCAACAGCTTTCGTTTTAAAACACCAATTATGTCAAACGAGATAAGAAATTGCGTAGGAAACTTTACAATTGGTGAAGTTACGATAACATTAACCAAGCAATCATGTAGGCTAGAGAGAACACGTACAGACATTGTTGGACTCAGTAGAGGCTGTAGCAGATGTTAAAGACTCAGCCGCACGTACTTCAGATTATATGAACGCTTCGCGTGAAAGATTTTGAGGCTCACGCTGAAATACGTGAATCCCTGCGACACCACTATCAAAACAACCCTCAACTTTTGAAAGGATCTTTTCATTCGTGACCCGTCTACCTCTCATTTCTGTGTTCGAGAAAACTGGGAAAACTGTTAAATTTATGCAAAATCAAACCCAGTCGCACTTCCTCAGCATGAGATAGGCTCTCAAAAGTGGGCATCGGATGTGCTAGATAGAGCATTGAGCTGTTCTTACCATTTCGGCGATGCATCTATCAACACTATCGCACTTAGAAAGGGAATTTACTTGCCAAAGCTGCACGTGTTTCTTATTTCACAAAAGCAGAGCAGAAACGGCATGGCGAATTTCTTTTTTTCAACAAGACGGAACCCCATTTTTCTTCTGTAAGGTTTCTAAACATTAATTTCCCTTGCGGATGGATCTGTAAAAGAGTCCTCCTTAAAAAACCCTGCTTTTGCATGGCTTACATCATACGAATTATCTCTATTGCTATAACGAAAGTGAATCCTATACAACTAAGCCATGTGACCTGCCAGATTTTAAGGGAAAATGCCGCACAATCAGCAGGGACGTCGTGAAAGTAATGTCCCTAGATTTCGTAGGGGCCTACGTCCGGAGTTTGTTTAGGGTTGCCACAAATTGAGCCCCTCACTTGGGTGTATGCATTTAGTCTTCGCGGCGTTAGAAGGTAGCGGCAGGCTTAGCAAGTGAAACTGCAATGACCCAGGCTAAGCACGCGAATTCGTTTAAGTTCTCTTGTAAAATGCAGGAAGTTGTTTAAAGTACGACGGTCTCTTAAAAATAATTTATCTTTTGGCAGCCGGTGGCATTTGCCCCAGTTGACGGCCTTCACAGAATGAAGTTGCTTCTGTCTGTCTCGTTGTTATGTCTTCTTTTGACTTATCACCGTCTTACCTCCCGGATATTTGCGTCACGGCCAGAATCAATACACTGTTCTGTTGGAGAGTCAGTTGGCAAACAAATGTTTTCGGTAACTCATCATCAGGCCAATACATTTAATTTCGGACAGGATATAAATGCGTCTCAGGGACAGGGTTAATCGGGCTGCATGTTCTTACGCCGTCCGCAGGACGCAGTCAACTTATTGAAAGCGGTAAAGTTGGGGTGGAAAGAGGTGGGAAGGATAGGGGCTCCCGTTAGATTGTAAGCGCTGTATGTGCGTGTGACTGCCCTTAGAGCTTCAGGACGGCGTACGATCACCGTCTGGAGTCGGCCAGGACAGACAGACTGCTTGTGTCAGCGTCTTCTGACAACAGAGTGCTGGGTTCGCCAGTCGAATGGCCACTGCTTCGGCTGTGGCTAGTACCCGTTTGCGCAGGCCTTTAGAGTAGTGTGCCGGCGCCCCGTAGATAACTTTAAAGGCTTCGTGAGCGTCGGCTTGGTCACTCGTATCGATTAGATGTCAACCATTATAATGACCATTACCCATGTAAATGTATCAGTCTGATGATGAGTTTACGAAAATATATGTTCGCCAACTGACTCTTCAATCGTAATATGGGAATTTTCGCAGAACTGTTCGGTTGGAACCCAAAAGGCTAATTGTGCGCAAAATGAGAAGAAAGCCATTTTTTTTCACAGGATTAGGCGTTCGAGCTCGCTACAAAACATATTTACGACAACCTACATCCCCCAGTGTTGAAAACTTTTGTCAGAACGTCATCGAGACTGATAAAATGTGTTTTATATTTTACTATGTACGTATGATCTATCCAAAGTTGTCAAATTAGCACAGGCGTTAACCAACAATGTACACTTTGAATAATTTAAGACTTTTAGGGAGAAGAAGGTAGCAAGAATTACACATTGCCTGCTGTCTTTATCCATCCAAATATCCTTTGCTGCCCATGGAAAAATACCTTAATCTAGCCGGCAAAAATACCTTAAGCAGCGACTATGAATAAAGTGGCAAACGTCGACAGCAGCCAACACATCAGCGACAAACAAGGTCGTTTGCGGACACTTGGTAAACCATTTGAGGCTCAGAATCAGTCAACAAAAGGTGTAAAATGCAGTATTTTCGTTGGCGGTTCATTCAGACGACTACTCATAGAATTGCACAAACATGATCCTACCTGAAACAACTAAGGTATCACAGTGAACTGTAGGTACGTTTTTATAAGCGCTTCGGTGCATCAGCAGTCGTCCAAATTGCGGCAACAAGGAGAGGCTAGATTTTCTTACTGAATCTAGCGTAGTTGGAGGCAAAACAGCTAGATATCCTCAGAGAGCAATGTTCGCGCATGCATTAATTGTAATGGAGAAGGATGCCGGTGTCCTGACGGGAACGTTTTAGGAATTCAAGTTCGACTACTTTGATGCTCATGCAGCGTCCAAAAT